CTTTCTGTAAAAGAAACATGAGATCAACGGCACCCTTTCCAACAATCAGGGGCCAAGGAGAGGATACAGCAGGCTTGGGCCCATTGGCCAACGAAGACCTTGCGATGAGTTCAGCAGCGGCATCTACGACTTTCAGCATCATTTCGTTACGCCCTTCCCGGTGTCTGGTGTAACCAGGCCAGGACCCCACCCCTCTATTTCATCTTCATGCTGTTTTGGTGTGCATTTCCGGCTGTCTGGCACACACGTAAAGACAACGCCAGGGCCAGAATCATCATCGCCATAAGCGTCGTCATCATCATCATCATCATCACCATCATCATCATCATCATCATCATCATCATCATCATCATCATCATCATTGGAGGGGATCACATTCCTCTCCTACATCAACCTTCTCCTCCTCCTCCTCCCCTTCTAGTATTTGCTGTACGCGGGCATGTACACAGACTGATGACTTCCACTAAATTAACAGCGCGTGTGGCGTGTGTACTTCTCGGGGCGGCGTTCGGAGTAGACTGTCAGCACAGCTGGAAAGCTCTTTCAACAGCGGCCCAGTGGCCGAAGCAGAAGCCACCGAGGTGCCAAGCGCTGTCAGGGGTCCTTGGATGCAGGGTTTAGGGCTGAGGGGTTGAGAGATTCAGGGGTCAGGGCTTGGGGTTTAAGGTTGGGGCCTTTTCAGCCTCGATTTCGGGAAGACACACTCCAATACGCTCGGCTAAAGCGGCCGTCGTCTGCCTCTCCCTGGCCGCTTATCAGCATTTTACGGACCTAGCTGGAAACCAATTTCACAAGAACTTGATCTCTCCACGACGGAAGAGTTAACCTTTCGGGTTTCCAAACTCTCCAAACGCGCCTTTCTCGGCTCCCCAGGAGTGGTCCAGGGCTTTCAGGTGACGTCTCAGGCGAATATCGTTTTGGCCTTCTATACCCTAAACCCTAAACCCTTTCTTCGTAGCCGGCTCTTATCCGGCGAAACCACGACAAGAGCCTGATAGAGGGCTGGAAGAACGGAACGTGGATCTACCACTTTCGCTTTCGAATTTCATTCCTGGGGGGGGGGTTCAGGATACTCAGGGACCTTACAAGAATTCCCCCCTATACCCTAAACCCTAAACCTTAAATCCTAAACCCTAAACCCTAATCCCTCAACCCTAAGCCCTAAAACCCCTAGAATCATGGGACCGCAGCCCTTAAGGGCACAAAAGCACAACATGAAGAGAAGGCCAGTCGCAGTGTGATGTTGGCCTCGAGCTGCGCCTCCAAGGTTGAAACAGTAGCAGCCGCTGAGGCTCAGTTTAGGCTCAATAGGGTTTAGGGTTTAGGGTTAGGGTTTAGGGTTTAGGGTTTAGGGTTTAGGGCTTCGGGTTTAGGGTTTAGGGTTTAGGGTTCAGGGTTTTGGGTTTTCGTGTTTAGGGTTTGGGGTTTAGGGTTCAAAGAAGTCCGAGCTTCAACTCTTTCAATCGCAGCGAGAGCAACCTCTTCGCCTAAACCAGCTCGCACGGATGACTCTCACCCTAAACCCTAAACCCTAAACCCTAAACCCTAAACTGCCCTAAACCCTAAACCCTAAACCCTAAACCCTAAACCCTAAACCCTAAACCCTAAACCCTAAACCCGAACCGAATGTTAAGCTGTTGCTGCGGAAGCAGGCGGGCCAGTCAGGGACAGGATTGCTCTCAGTCTGAACGATAAACAAACAAACGGAGCGCAACGACGGATGCAGCAAATACAAACCATGTCACAGCGGTACCGACTGCATCCCGCAACAGGGCGGTCAGATACGTCCAAAAAGGAGCTTCAAGAACGTGTTCGAAGACTGGCTCCGGACAGCTCCGAAACAAACGAACAACTAAAGACATGTATTTAGACCCCTGAAGAGGGTCCTTAAATACGTAAAAAAAGTTGAAGTTCAGGGTTTAGGGTTTAGGGTTTAGGCTTTAGGGTTTAGGGTTTAAGGTTTACGGTTTAGGGTTTAGGGTTTCAAATTCGCGGTATTAGGCCCTCGAAGCAGTTTCAACCGCTTCTGAGCCCTTCCCGGCAGCCAGGGCGTCGGAGCTTTGCATATTGTGCACGAACTGCTTTTAAAAAGTTTAGGGTTCAGGGGGTTCAGGGTTTGGGGTTCAGGGATTAGGGTTTAGGGTTTTGGGTTTTGGGTTTAGGGTTTAGGGGTTATAGGGAAGGACACTTTCCCCCCTTGTGGCCCTGCTGCTCAGCATGGCAGGCAAGCAGCTGTAAGCTGAGGGCATTCAGCATTCTGCTTTTTTCGGGGCCTTCTGGGCCAGGATTCTTTCACTAAACCAAAAAAACCAAACCCCAAACCCCAAACCCAAAACCCTAAACGACTGCGCCTTGACCTTGGTGAAGCTTGGCTGGGCGGACGTTGCTGCAACCAGGAGTGCCGCATAGAGGCCGCGCGCGATGGTCATGGAAGCCATGTCGGGACCCCTGCGTAAACACCGAGACGAACCCTGAGAGCTGCAAGAAAATGCCTGCAGATCGCAGAGGATCTCGGGATGCACTTCTGCTCCTTTCTGGATGAAATTCTGCTCCTTTCTGGGTGAAATTCTGCTCATTTCTGGGTGCTTCAGTCGGGTCCCCTAAGCCAAAGCCCTCAGGAGACCCGGCCCCGGGCATCTACTTTTCAAAAGAATGGTGCGAGAGAACGAGTATATTCGTCTGGGGTCTGGGGGATGCAACAAATAGGGGAAGGGATGGAAGCCATGCCAACTCGACACGTTCAGGCCACCGAGCCATGTCGCCAACATTGGCCAGAGAATCAGAGTCCATGTGAGAAGGTCAGGTCTCACCTTGTGAACTTCAAAGTCACCAGCGTTTCAACGGCGTGGAACCCCCTACGCAAAACCCTGCCCGCAGAGCTCGTGTCATAGCACGATCGACCACCCGCGCGTTGTTTGCGGCTGTCGCTGCGACGCAACCCTGCACGCGGAGCTAGTTTTCGAAGGCTCTTCAGGAGTAGACGGAGGGCTGCGTGACTGGCGCTTTTCGCCTGTGGAACGAATGGGAAGAAAACCTCGCCAATTGGCTGGGATTGAAACAGATTTCGTTTTCTCGACTTTGGGCTTCATCCTTTGCAAATATGAAATATGGGATCGCACTTGTTCGCGACGAGCCTACGAAAACCACTCAAATTGCTAATGCACGACAGACTCGCCCCAGCAGGTGGGGGTCGCTACATTGTCTCGTCGTGGAAAGTCAAGGGCAGGTCAAGCGCATCATTACGGGATCCGGCCTGAGCTTGTTTCCGTGACACCTTCCGTTCCAACCTCCTCTTTCTCTCTCTCTCTCTCTCTCTCTCTCTCTCTCTCTCTCTCTCTCTCTCTCCCTTCCTCTCCCAGTCCTGCCTTCGGACTTACTGGGTTTGCTCCAGCTCTTTTCAACCTGATGGAAGCCTTGCCGAGATGAAGATGTCCCTGAAAAGAAGGAGATGCCTATGCATCCCTTCCGAAGAAAAGAAGGCAAAGCCCAGGCTCGGAGCCCCCCGCCGTCTAGTTCGGGGCTTCCTTTAGGGCCCCGGGGGGCTGGGGGGGAGCTGAGGATAGGGTTTAGGGTTTAGGGTTTAGGGTTTAGGGTTTAGGGTTTAGGGTTTAGGGTTTAGGGTTTAGGGTTTATGTTTTAGGGTTTAGGGTTTAGGGTTTAGGGTTTAGGGTTTAGGGTTTAGGGTTTAGGGTTTAGGGTTTAGGGTTTAGGGTTTAGGGTTTAGGGTTTAGGGTTTAGGGTTTAGGGGTTTGGGGTTTGGGGTTTAGGGGTGGGCTAAGGGGAGAAGATTGATGCTTTCGAGGCTCCTGTGTCACATGACTTCATGTCCTGGCTGAGCTGGTGAAACACACTGACGAAGCACCTGCAAAATCGAGCAAAGTCCACAGACAAGGTGGTGCCCGGACGATGGCCACCGGGGCCAAAAAAACCCTAGCTATTCTGGAAGCCAAAGAGCTGAGCCACGGAGCTGCAAAGTAGCTGCGACGTGACCTTTAAAAGTTAGAGCTTAGGGGTCTTAGTTACAGGATGTTACAGGACAACCTGCACATAGCCATCGGGCAGCGCCAGCGAGCACACCCGTCGGCACTGCGATGCATCCCCCTCCAGGCCGAGCTGGAGGAAGTCTGGGATGGATTGGCCCTCAGCAAAGTCAGCCGCTTTCCAGTGCCGGCAGTTGCGAAGGTCCAGCCGGGCGCCGGCCGCAATCAGGGCCGCGGCGGCCTCGTACTGGGCCGACCGGATGGCCTGCATCAGCGGCGTGCTGCCGTGCGCATGGTAAGCCAGCGCCGTCAGCACCGAGGCCTTCCTGAGCCGGTACTGCAAGGACTTCGCGGCAAAGAGCAGCCGGCCCATGGACCGGTAGTCGCGCCTCATGTCAAACTGGAAATCCACGTCGGCCCGAAGGCTAAGCAGGCGCTGAACCAGCTCAGCCGAACCGCCCCGAAAACCGGTCGAGGCCCAGAGTGTCAGGGAAAGCTCCCGTGGGCCTGGGTGCCCACGCACCAGGAGCTCCTCTCTGGAATCTGCGGTTTCTGGGGGGGGCTCTTTCGGTGTTGGGGCTTGCAAGGCCTGAGGGACTCTCACGAGGCTCGGGCTTTGTTTTTTTTCTTTTTTTTTTGGGGGGGGGGGGGGGGGAAGCGCTAAACCCTCAACTCCAAACCCTAAACCCGAGACCCTAAACCCTAAACCCCCTAAACCCCCTAAACCCTAAATCCCCTAAACCCTAAACCCTAAACCCTAAACCCTAAACCCTGAACCCTGAACCCTGAACCCTGAACCCTACCGGGGGCGGGGCGGAGGCATGGCTCCTCGAGGGCCGATGTGGCCGCATAGGAAGCCGCAATCTGCAAGGCGGTGAGGCCAAACAGATTCCGGGCCAGCGGCCGGGCACCAGCTTCGCACAGCAGCCGAATGCTCCTTAGGGTTTAGGGTTTAGGGTTTAGGGTTTAGGGTTTAGGGTTTAGGGTTTAGGGTTTAGGGTTTAGGGTTTAGGGTTTGGTTTAGGGTTTAGGGTTTAGGCTCCTTGCATTGTCAGACATGGCTGCGCACTGGACGGCCGACGCAGTGAATCCACGCTCCAGCTCGGCCCTCGCCTCAAGCAGAAAGCGCGTGGCCTCATGATGCTTATAGAAACTGGCGATGTCAAGCACGGACGTCAAGGGTGGAATGCCCAACGTCGGCTCCTCCTTGAACGTGCGCCAGTTGACATCGGAGCGCCGCTCCAACAGACCCCTCAGCACCTCGGTGTCCCCAGCCAAGGCTGCATAGTGCAGCGGCCGCCACCCTGCACTGTCGGCCTCACCAACCCTCCGCAAGCCGTTCTGGTACAAGAACTCTGCCACCCTGCACTGTGGGCCACAGGGAAGCAGGCCAGACACCGGTTCGATGTCCAGCCCACGCAGGTGAACGGCTTGTAGGTTGAAGTGGCGCCGGAACCCGGGCAGGTCACCCACGCGTAGGCAGTGGTTCAACTTCTGCACCAGCATCTGCTTCATTACCGGGGCGAGCTTTTGGCGATCTTCTGCGATCTCGAAATCACCTTCCCCGACAGAGCCACTCGGAAAGGATCCGGCGGTACCAACGACCTCCATGCAAGTGTCGCTCTGAATCAGAATCCAGGAACTGCTTGGCGACAGCTCGCGCGCGGCTCTTTCCGCGCGACACCAGCCTCTCCTACTCCAGCCCGCCGCAGATAGAACCTTTCCCTCGAAGGGGCAATCCAGGACCGGGCAAAGTGCAAAAAAGAAGTGGCACCTGGCTATGTAGGCTGGGATGCTTTTGATGGCGTTGGCCTGGCCTCCGTCTTGTTCGGCACTGAAGGTCGGTTCCAGCTGTGGGCACGAGAAGAAGTCGTACCAAAAGAACAAGGCTTCTTCTTGAAGCTCTTGCATGGGAAAAGGGCTGGCAGCGGAAACCAGGCTTTCGGTAACGACGTCCAGTGAAACAAACCCGTGGCTGCTCAGAAGCCGCCTCAAGGCATCCTGCAACGTGCGCATCTGCTTGAAGTCAGGATCTGGGTGGCGCTTGGCCAGCCACTGGTGTGAAACAAACACTGCCCTGCCCATGTCGTCGCTGAAGAGGACGAGCCTGCCGTCCGCCTTCACGAGGCAGGTGCACCCGCGCAAGACCTAACCCCATCTCAGAAGGCATGCAACCTAGACCTCATGGAGGGCGAAGGATAAGGACGCCCTCCAAAAGCCCAGCCGAGCGCGAGGGCCTTAAACCCTTCTCGAAGGTGGGTGATCGACAGCAAGGCAAAAGGAGCCCTAAAGAAAGTCACCACTTGAAACTAAAGCTATCCTACTTGGATGTAGGGTTAGGGAACGGACCCATATGCCGTGCGGGGTTGGGGTTCCATACATTTTGAGGTTTTGAGGGTTATGGGTGATCCACAGGGCCCACGTCGATTTTTTTGGGGCTTTAGAGCTTTGGGTCTAGGATTTTTGAGCGAGCAATAGGTTTCGGCTTCACCCTACACCCCCCTATAGCTGCACACGGCCTTCAACTTCTCATGCGGCTCGATCCTCGTCATCTTCAGCAGAACATCCGTGGCCACGGCGTACATGGGGAAGAAGATCGGGGTCGCCTAAGGGGCCACAGGCCCGAAAGTTCAGCCCAGCTCCCAACAGGGGCCGTCATAAGCATAAGCGCCCTAAACCCTAAACCCTAAACCCTAAACCCTAAACCCTAAACCCTAAACCCTAAACCCTAAACCCTAAACCCTAAACCCTAAACCCTTGACTCATCCCCCCAAGCCAAGGCCGAGCAGCGTCCGCATCTTTGGGCAGCGATCGGGCATAGATCTCCAGAGGTGTCGGGGACTTTCCGGAGAGGCAGCAGGCCATGGGATTTGAAACTTTGGGCTTGGGGTTTAGGGTTTAGGGTTTAGGGTGTAGGGTTTAGGGTTTAGGGTTTGGGGTTTAGGGTTTAGGGTTTAGGGTTTGGGGTTTGGGGTTTAAGGTTTAGGGTTTAGGGTTTAGGGTTTAGGGTTTAGGGTTTAGGGTTTAGGGTTTAGGGTTTAGGGTTTAGTGCTTGAGGCTTAGCACATGGCATCACAGGGCTTGGAGGGCTCCAGGCTCAGGTTTCTAGGGATCTGAAGGAGATTCCGGGGCTTATTGGGCCTACACCCCCAAACCCTAAAACCTAAACCCTAAAACCCTAGACCCTAAACCCTAAAAACCCTAAGCCCAAAAACCTAAACCCGAAACCCTAAACCCCCAAACCAGAACTTTTAGGGCCTACTGGGCCAAGCTGCGCCGGCTGAGGGTTGAGGGGTTAGGCCGTAGGGACCCTGAACCATTCAACCCGTAGACCTGAACCCCTAACACTGAAACCCTGAAACCCCACCTTAACCCTAAACCCTGAACCCTGTCAGGGTTTAGGGTTTAGGGTTTAGGGTTTAGGGTTTAGGGTTTAGGGTTTAGGGTTTAGGGTTTAGGGTTTAGGGTTTAGGGTTTAGGAACCCTCACATTTAAGGGTCTATGGGCCTGTGGCCTTCTCATGCACGTGTGTCGAAGCTCCAGTTTCGGAGTCGCCCGGTGTCTGCTCACTTGGGCCACAACAGGCTGTTGAAGGTTACGGTTCAAAGCTTAGGGTTTTTTAAGGTTCAGGGTTTAGGGTAAAGGATAAGGGTTTCGGGTTTAGGGTTTAGGGTTTAGAGTTTAGGGTTTGGGGTTTAGGGTTTAGGGGTTTAGGGGTTTAGGGGTTTAGGGTTTAGGGTTTAGGGGGGAAGGCTCAGGGTTTAGGAAGGCTCTCCAAGACCCGGGCTTTGGGTTTAGGATTTCGGGCTTTAGGGCGTGCAAGGCCGATGAGGGGGGGTGTCGGGCTTGCAGTCGATGGACTCTATGCTTTGGAACCCGAAACCCTCAGCCCTGTCCGCCCTGAACACCTCATTCCTCCCCTCCCCTCTTCCCGAACCTTTGGGGGAGGGCTCAACGTGACGTTCACCCAGGCTTCGGGCTTAGGAAGCCTTTAGGAAATCGTGCCAAGACTTGGCATTCGGACTTCGGGCTTTCGGGACCCGAAACCCTAAACCCTAAACCCTAAACCCTAAACCCTGAACCCTAAAGTCCGGCTGAGGGCTCGCTACCACCACGTGAGAGCCCGAAGCCGTCCGAGCGGTCAGCGAGCGACCTGACCACACGCCACGCGCAGCCCAATTAAAGCTGTGGCTGCTGAACGCCTTGGCAAGATGACCACACAGCCATGCGCGCCAGGCGGTCGAGCCTTTGAGTGTCAAAGGTTCAAACCCTAAACCCAAGCACCCCGCGCCGGCGCCACCAGCCCCCCCCCCCCCACCCGTCAGCCCCTGCTAAAACCCCTCTTCAGGCCAAGCACGTTCCCGCCTCCTCCAAGCAGGGGTAGAGAAGGATTGTGTGGCTGAGCCAGTACGGCTCGCATGTTGGTTTGCTGGCACCACGGCACTGTTGCCTCTCAGGCCTTTTGCTTGTTCTGGGGCCACAACCCTGGCATGTCATGCGGGACACGGTTGGGGGTTGGCTGGTCCTGGCCGAAAGAGGCGCTCCGCTGGGTTTTTCGGCCCACACACTTCTGCATGGACGTCCCGCCAGGATGCTCCATTGTCAGCCGGTCCCACCGAGACGAACTTAAAGACTTTGCAGGCGTTTTTGCACCTCCCGAAAAACCAGTCTCCTGCAGGTGCAGGTTTGGCAGCCCCGTTTTCCGGCTGCGGGCCAGAGCGGGGCCGGCTCTCACCCGGCCTTTCCTCACCTGGAGGTCAAGCCGGGGCTGCCAGCCCCCCGTGCCAACATCCACCGTTGCTGTCTGAACTGAACAAAAAAACGCTTTAAGACAGCCGCACGGCTGCAGCGGAACAGGCCCACTACTGCGGATAAGAGCACCAACCAGACTCTGTGGCCGAAACCCTACAATGCTATATGCCGGGTGGTTTGGGGTGGGTGTACGCCACGCGACGCGCGCGGAGGAGTGAGCCCGTGAAAGTCAATCTATAGGGCCCACGACGCGCGCGAAGAATGTTGCCACACCCTAAACCCTAAACCCTAAACCCTAAACCCCCCTCCTGGTGCCGAGGAAGCTGCAAGCAGGCCATCGCGGCGGCATTGACATGCTGCACTTCTGCTACTTTAGGCTTTAGGGTTTAGGGCTTAGGGTTCAGGGCTGAGGGTTTAGGGGTTAAGGTTTACGGTTTAGGGTTTAGGGTTTAGGGTTTAGGGTTTAGGGTATTAGGGTTTAGGGTTTAGGTACTCGCTCTAAACGCCTTCCAGTAGCAGTCTGGGCAGGAGAAGGCTGCTCGAAACCTCTACCTAAACCTTCGAGAATCACGGTGCAATGGCTCCGACTGCAGAGGCTCAATGGGTAGTTCTCCAAATTAGGGTCCCTGTTTGGGATCCCTTTTCAAGGGTGCCGCCTTAGAAGACACTGCCTGGACAAGCACTCCGCCACCAAACATATCTAACCTCAGGCTCAAAAGCCCTTTTTTGGCCCAAACCCTATCAACAGAAGCCTTTTTGAAGGCGCAGGACTACGGCTGAAGAGACTCAACCAACCTAAACCCCAAAACCCAAAACTTTAAAACCCGGAACCTGAAAATCTGAAGCCTTGCCCCCTAACTCCACCCGAAAACTCCGGAATTCGGACGCTCCACCCCTCAAGCTGCCCTCGTATACCCCCCCAATTCAAGGTACCCTTAGGAGCTTTGTAATATGGGGGCCTTCATAGTAAGAACAAGGGTTATTATAGCAGAATTACGAAGGGACCAGAACGGAATACCATTAGAAATTCCTCGACCCCTATAGTAGGGGGTTGCTTTGGGGAAGTTGCAACGTCGACCCCCAGCTTGCCCCCCCTCTCTTTTGGCTCGCAACGTCGCTCTGCGATGGCCAGCTTCAGTGTCTCGCTGCAACGCGGTCGCCGCGCTGCTGGCTTAGGATTCGGGCCTGGGGTCTACGATGTAGAGACTTCTCCTTCTCGAAGCCCAGGTTACCGCGATAGGCGCGTGCATTTCTAGTACATAGTGGGAACACCTTAGGGCTTGGGGTGAGGGATCATGGTGTGTCGAGGCTGCGGGACCAGAGTGTTAAGGTGTGCGGCTGCGCAAGTCTCGTTTTGGGCCCTTCACCTTCCTACTAGGGTTTAAAATTTAGGGTTTAGGGTTTAGGGTTTAGGGTTTAGGGTTTGGGGTTTGGGGTTTAGGGTTTAGGGTTTGGGGCATCGGAACATGGCGTCTCACTCTTCTTTAACTCCCAGACCTTAAATGGGCCCTGACGATGGGCCAAGGGCGTCTGCGCTAGACGACCAGCTCAACCGCGTCCTGACCACGCAGAAGGGCTCACCAAGCGCACAAGACCACGAAGTCTCCAAGTGAAGTCTGAAACCACTTCGCATGTTTCGAGGCATTCGAAAATCTCCGAAGCCAGACATTCGCTTCTTTGCCAAATCAAACTGCAACTACAAACCCCTCAACTATAAACTCTAAACTCGATAACCTTAGAGAGGCTAACACCCCTTCTCGACACCTGAAGCTCGCAACTTTTCAGAATGTGGATATAGGGTTGAATATCCGAAACCCTAAAAGAACCTGAAGCTGCTCCGACACTCTGCACGCTTAGAGGGTTCGGTGTGTTGGGGCTGCTGGGACACTTAGGCTGTCAACAAAGGCAGACCCTGATCAACCATCATGAACCTGGAACCCCAAACCCCAAACCCTAAACTCCAAACCCTAAACCCTAAACCCGAAACCCTAAAACCTAATCCCTAAACCCGAAACCCTAAATCCTAAACCCTAAACCCTAAACCCTAAACCCTAAACCCTAAACCCTAAACCCTAAACCCTAAACCCTAAACCCTAAACCCTAAACCCTAAACCCTAAACCCTAAACCCTAGCCTGACCAGTGCAAAGCGCGGCTCCTGTTTTGCAGGGATCGCCGCGAGGCAACGTATCTCCACCGAAGCGCCACGGGCCTCTTGGGCATCGCGGCAGAACCCTTGTTATCCCAGATTCGTAATTTCTGAAAAATGCAATTTAGGGTTTAGGGTTTAGGGTTTAGGGTTTAGGGTTTAGGGTTTAGGGTTTGGGGTTTCTGGTTTAGGGTTTAGGGTTTAGGGTTTAGGGTTTAGGGTTTAGGATTCAGGATTTAGGGTTTGTCTCAAAAGGGGGGGAGCATCGACCCTCTCACCTTGACAAGCAAGCTCGACGGGGGCCTTCCGGTGTCCGGGCGAGAGATGTTAGGATGCCGTGCAGCTGGGATGGACGTCCGGATGTCCGGAACATGTACTACTTACGTCCCCCCAAAGAAGCCTCTGAAACCTGTACCTCAAAAAGGCCCCTAGAGACTAAACCCAAACCCCTAACGCCTAAGTCCTAAGAAACCTGGACGCCGAAGGCCTCAGACATTCCGGCGCCCTAAGCCCTAAGCCCTAAACCCTAAACCCTAAACCCTACACCCTAAAAGGATGCCGTGGAGGCCTGCGTTCTGTGAATTCAAGAAAACATAGGCTTTCAGCAGCTACATGGAGTATGCTTTCGGAATAGGAAGACATAGGATGCAAACCCTAAACCCTAAACCCTAAACCCTAAACCGGCTTTTGCGGCCCCAGCGGCAAGCTTTCCGACCTGCACGGCCACCCGGCTGGGGGGTGAAGACGGCCAGAAGTCTGCGTAGGCCTCGGAGGCTCCAAGAGACATGAGGATTTAGGGTTCAGGGTTTAGGGCTTAGTGTTTAGGGTCTAGGGTTTAGGGCTTAGGATTTAGGGTTTAGGGTTGAGGGTTGTTCACCTTCACGGTTTGGGCTGATTAGGCCTTCAAGGCCTACTTATCTCCCGAAGCTTCGGTCTCTCTCGGACAATTTACGTGCAGCACAGGGCTCGACAAAGGTGTCTCCTAACGCGGGCTTCACTTCAGGGAAGTGGGTCCCATATGCAATTACCCTCCTAGGGATGTGCGGAGCACATTGACCCTAAAACAAAACCCGTTAAAGCTCTCACCCAGCACTCCAGCAAGTGGCTAGAGGCACAATTGCAAGAGGTCTTTGGAAAGATGGCAGGGCGACCTAACATTCAGGCAACTCACTGCTTGCGCAAGGGATTTGGGAGCCGATCTGGTTTTCAAGGATTGTAGTCGCAGCCTTCTCTAGCCTCCAGTCGGGTTTACCCCCGCTTGCTGTGAGGAAAAAGCTCCATCAAGACAACTCGGGACCGCAAAACCTGAGGTCCGGATGGCGCGGCTCCTCTTTCGTGGGCACAGCGGAGCAGAAGACTGTGAAGGAAAAGCTGTGCTGCAGGAATCGGAGCTACGACAACTCGATCCGGCGTGAAAAAGAGCGAGCTGTCGGACGTCAACATCACGGGCCTACGTACTCATAGGGGCCAATTCCGCTGCACGGGGCCACTTGTTGACAGGGGAGCCTGTGACGACCACGACGTCCCCTCCAAGCCCGTCATGAAGTGCGACGTGCACAGGCTCCGGAAGACTTTGCCAAGGAAGGTGGCGTGCACGTGGTCAGCTCACAGAATTATGGACCCCTTTTTGGGTACCCTAAGTATTAGGGGCCGCCTTACATTAGCAACCCCAACATCGTTTAGTGAAGTGCCACATCCATCTATCCACATCTTGGGTAGTTCCATGTGAGCCCTCAAAAGGGGACCCCATATGTACACTTATACCCCAAAAAAAACCAAGGGCCCATGCTTCAGAACCCTTTCAAGGAGGTAAGGGACCGTATCCAAGGCCCATGTAACTACCCTAAGATTTGTTTGCCCAAACCCTAAACCCTCAACCCTGAACCCTAAACCCGAAACCCTCATTCCCGGGCCCCTACTTCAGGGTGCTCGAAGATCATCCTTTCCGGGATGTCAAGGTCATCAAGATCGTCGTCGGGGATGCTGGGGCCGCCCCAAGTGCTACACCCTAAAGGGTTTAGGATTTAGGGTTTAGGGTTTAGGTTTTTTAAAGGGTTTAGGGTTTAGGGTTTAGGGTTTAGGGCAAGAATGCGTCAGATATGCAAGATGTGTGGGGAAAATCCCTTTCGGTGCCCGGGGGGCGAGCTTGGCTGCTGCGTGAGGTTGCAGATGGAACTTTGGGGCTCGGGTTTCGGGGCTGATCCCGAAAACCGTGCAGTGATACACCCCGCTCCCAAAAAGGGTCTAGGGTTTAGGGTTTAGGGTTTAGGGTTTAGGGTTTAGGGTTTAGGGTTTAGGGTTTAGGGTTTAGGGTTTAGGGTTCAGGGTTTCCCGAGTTTAGAGAACTGAGACTCAAGAACCTTCCAAGCAGGCCTTGTTCACGGCCGCGAAGTCCTTCATGTCTGTCAAGGAGACTTCGCAGCCGACCACATCAGCGAGCCCTCGGCATCCAGCCGGCTTAGGGTCTTGGGTCTCAGGGTTTAGGGTTTAGTGTTCAGGGTTCAGGGTTCAGGGTTCAGGGTTTAGGGTTTAGGGTTTAGGGTTTAGGGTTTAGGGCTTCATGTCAAGGAAGGTGTACGGGTTTGGGATGTCAAAACTTGGGGGGGCTTCCGCTCGCGGACATAAGGGTGACCGGTTTGGGATTGTAAACCCTTAACCCTAAACCCTAAACCCTAAACCCCAAACCCCAAACCTAAACCCTAAACCCCAAACCCTAAACCCCAAACCCTAAACCCTAAACCCTAAACCCCGCATGGCTGGAGCTACAAGATGCCCTAATACTACGCCCGTGGCCTGTTCCTGCAGCTTCCGCGGCGGCCTGAATGTCCTGAGAGGACGTGCTTAGAATCATATCGGATCCCTAAGGGTTTAGGGTTTAGGGATTAGGGTTTAGGGTTTAGGGTTTAGGGTTTAGGGTTTAGGGTTTAGGGTTTAGGGTTTACAACCCTACAACCCTAAACCCGGTAAACTCAAAGAGATATGCCGGGATGTGGTGTCTTGTTGCTTTCAGGGAGGTGCGGGGGCTTTCGAGTTCGGGGCGCAGGGCCCCTTACCAAACCCCAAAACCCCAAACCCTAAACCCTAAAACCAAAAACCCATGCTGAGCATCTAAACCTCAAATCCTAAGCTAAGCCCAAGAAACCCGAGATTCCCAAACTCCGAGCCTAGATCTAAACTCCTCCATCCACACCTGATCCCCAACCCCCAAACCCTAAGCCCTAAGCCTCTAAACCCGAAACCCTAAACCCTAAACCCGTGCTCCTTCAACGTCTGCGTCGTCTCAGGCCCAGCCCCGCCCTCGACAAGCTTGGAGGTGGACATGTCAACACCTGGTGTGCGAGGTTTCGGGTTTCGAGTTTCGGGTTTCGGGTTTAGGGTTTAGGGTTTAGACTAAACCCTAAACCCTAAACTCTAAACCCTAAACCCTCAACGTTTAGGGTTTAGGGTCTTGAGGTTTCGGGTTCCGACTAGTCGAGCGGCGACAAAAGTGGAGAAGTGTTGCGACAAGGCGAAGGTTCCATCGTCCTCGAGCCTATCGAAACCCTAAACCCTAAACCCTAAACCCTAAACCCTACACCCCCGAAACTCGAAACTCTCCCCAAACCCTCCGACCTTGGTTCCCGCTGATGAAGGCCAGGTTGTCAATGGTGGCCGCCGCGGAGAACGGGAAGCCCGCCATCTCGGGCCACCCAGGAACCTTCAGGTTTGAGGGTTTTGGGTTTAGGGTTTAGGGTTTAGGGATTGGGGGTTAGGGTCTAGGGTTTTGGGTTTAGGGCTTAGGGTTTAGGGTAGGAACCTTCAGGATTCGGGTTCCAGGGGGCCTTCGGTTCTTGCAGGGGTTTAGGGGTTTAGGGTATACTGTCGGGGTTTAAGGGTTTGGGGTTTGGGGTTTGGGGTTTGGGGTTTGGGGTTTGGGGTTTGGGGAGGGTTTGGGGCTGACCTGTGCAACCCTCAGCACCCCTACGGTCCAACACCCTAAACGCTAAACCCTGAACCCCAAACCCTGAACCCGAAACCCTAAACCCTAAACCCCAGGGTTCTGGGTTTAAGGTTTAGGGTTTAGGGTTTGGGGTTTGGGGTTTAGGGTATAGGGTTTAGGGTTTAGGGCAAGCCCCTAAGGTCCTACACTCTGAGCCCCCAAAGCACTCGCGACCCGAAGGTCCCCCGCGAAAACTCCCCGAAAGCCCCAGAAGCCACAATGGCTCCCCGAGCCCGGCATTAGACTTATTCAGGAGGTAAGTTGAGGGTTTCGGGTTTAGGGCTTAGGGTTTATGGCTTCCGGTTTCAGGTTTAGGGTTTAGGGTTTAAGGTTTAGGGCTTAGGGTTTAGGGTTTGGGGTTGGGCGTTTTGGAGGTTGAGGGCTTTTCACCCTACATCCCTGGACCTGGCCACCTTCCCAGATTCCCCCGTGGCCTTGATCGCCTGAGGTGGGCCCTGATGATGCGGATCCTGGCCTCAGCGCCACTGGCGTATGGGGTCCCCGATTTCGGGCTTTTAGGGGCTTTTAGGGTTGAGGTGGCTTGGTTAAGGGCTCAGGGCTTAAGGATCGCACTCCCCGCATGCTTACAGGGTCGACGACAGGGCGCTACTAGGCTTGTGGGCTCTGGAGTGAGGACTTTCGGGTTGGGGATTCTCACCGGCTGCTGAAACCCCAAAACCTTACAGGCGTATCCCTGGGTCGCAGGCGTGCGACAGCGGTGCACTGAATCTCTACCTGGCAGGTTTTCAAATTAAGGGCCGGTTAGTCGTGAGCACGCCAACATCCTCGATTCTCACAGCTCAAAAACTCTCCACCTCCTGCAAGCCCTGTTTGACAAACCCCAAGCCTGATGTGCTTACCGCTTACCCAAGAGTCTTGTGAGGGTCTTAGAACAAGAGCCGGCATTCTAAAAACATGAAGGAGAGTTTGTCCTGCAAAAAAACCGAACCCTTATTCAGTTTTATCGAAACACAAGCCCTGAAAGTGGCGAGGCTCCGCCCACGTCCCGCGAAACCTGATACCCGAATCATTGGGAGTTGAAGGTTTAGGGTTTAGGGTTTACGGGTTAGGGTCGAATGTCGAAAGCCCAAAACTTTAACTCTCGCACGCTCAGTAAACTCAAACCACCAACGGCTGAGTTTTGCTTCTCATGCCTCGGCAAACGAATTGTTACAGTTGAAGGCCTTGTCAAACCTTCGGCTTTGGGTTGCAGATTCAGCGTTCTGGCTTCAGGGTCAGTGTAGGACCCTAACCTAAACCCCAACACCCTGCACCCTAAGCCCTGTGCTTGGCGCTTGGGGCTGACGTCACCTTGGCATTGCCGGCCAAAGCGGCTGCCTCTACGCAGACCTCTGCGTGGGAGGGAGCTGCCAGGGCGTCAAGGTTTCAAGCAGCTTCGGGCTTCCCCAAACCCCTACTGTTTTGCAGGTTGCTTTCACCAACACCCCCCCCTTACATATGGGATTCTTAGGTGGCCAATAAAGAAGCAAAGTTGGGGGTTCTCAGGGCCTAAGGCGCCCGAAGGCCTCAACTCTCCAGCCCCCAAACTTCAGTGGGTTGCGGATACACTTTGCGCAAGCAGGAGCAGGAGCAGGAGAAGGAGAAGGAGAAGGAGTAGTAGGAGTAGTAGGAGTAGTAGGAGTAGTAGGAGCAGTAGGAGTAGTAGGAGTAGTAGTAGTAGTAGTAGTAGTAGTAGTAGTGGTAGTAGTAGTAGTAGAAGCAGCAGCAGCAGCTGTAAGGAGGAGCAGCAGCAACAGCCCTGAACCTCGTCGTCGCCGTCGTCGACGACGCTAGTGGTAGTGGTGGTAGTGCTAGTGCGAGTGCGAGTGCGAGTGCGAGAGCGAGAGCGATTGCGAGTGTGGGTGCGAGCGCTAGGGCCACTAGGGCTAGGGCTAGGGCTAGGGCTAGGGCTAGGGCTAGTTCGACTCGCTAGTGCTAGTACTAGCCCGAAACCTCAACTCCTCGTCCCCCGGCTGGCCGAAAAAAGAAAGAACGGGTAACCACCCTCAACTCCCAAACTCTAAAACCAAAACGCCCAAAGCCTTGACTTGTGCAAGCTGAAGCTGAATTTTTAGGGCTGAGAGCTGAGGACTTGTTTTTGGGATTTAGGGTTTCAGGGTCTCGGGTTTCGGGCTTGGGGTTTTCACTTCCTTGCCCTTTTTGGTTCTGAGGTCGACGACGCGAGTGGGCAGGCCGCCCATGGGGGAGGTGGCAGGCCAGAAGGCCTTGTAGGCCTCTCTCAGGGCTTTTGGAAGGTTTGGGTGACCGTCGGGGGTAGAGGTTTCGGCATAAAAAGGTGTAGGGTTGGGGCATGGGGTTTGGGGTTGTGGGGTTTCGGGGGTTTGGGGTACACGAAACTCCAGGCTCGTTGTTGCGCTGTGGTGTGATTTGAGCTGCTTGATGGGCATGCGAAGGTTCAGATATCGTCTCCTGCTTTAGACGCTGAACCCTGCAAGCGCTCGACCACGATTCATCATCGCAACTCCAACGGAGTCCACGGGAACCTCGCCCTTAACCCCCCAACCCCGAAACCCTGCATGCAAAGCCCACAGAGTCTCGCCATAAACCCTGAACCATGCCTAAACCCTAAACCCTAAGCCCTAAACCTGGGCGGGGCGCCCGCGGACGCGTTCCGTAGAAGAGAGTCGTGGCTGAGCGTTGGGCTGAGGGTTCGGGGAGGTTTCAGAGCAGTAGAAATTAAAGGACCTCGGGGCTCCGCTCGCAGATCCGATAGTCCCTGAGCAGCTTACTGGGTCTTGCGGGTGTGACATCCAAAAATCATCATGGTGCGTATAGTGGGGTTTTGGGTGAAGGTTCAGGCCCCACGCGACCCTGAAGCGATGCGAACATGAGCCGTTCAATCAGCGAGCGTGAAGTCCTTGTCTGCACAAGCGCCTGCTAGCAAGCATGCAATATCCACATGGCCCCTGTCCATGGCGCACAGGAGAGCTGTCCAGCCACCCGCGGACATCAGATCCTTGTCAGCACCCGCTTCCACCAGCAGGCGCGCAATCTCCAGGTAGCCCTTGTCACATGCACGCATGAGGGCTGTCATGCGACCTCGGCCTCGTAAGTCCTTGTCTGCACCAGCAGTCACTAGCAAGCGCACAATCTCCGCGTGGCCTCTGTCACATGCGAACATGAGAGCTGTCTTACCATCATAATCTGTCAGGTCCATGGCAGCGCCAGCTTTCACCAGCAAGCGCACAATGTCCACGTGGCCCTTGTCACATGCACACATCAAAGCCGTCTTGCCATCAACACTTCTCACATTTTTGCCAGCACCAGCCTCCACCAGCAATCGCGCAGTCTCCACGCGGCCCCCCTCACATGCGCCCATGAGGGCTGTCATACTGCTGAGTCGGTCTGTCACATCCTTGTCAACACCAGCTTTCAGGAGGAATTGGGCAAGCTCAGTGAGGCCGTAGGAGGCGGCATAGATGAACTCATCCGTGCTCTCCCTCCGTTCACCGCAGGAAGTCAGAAATAGCTGCAGCTCCAATGGCGCGTCCAGCATCGCAGCATCCTCCAGCCGATTTCCCCCATAGAGGAGCTCTTGGAGGCAAACGGGGAAGCTGTGCAACTGACGCAGGTGGAGCTTCAAAGCCGCGACGTCACTCAGCTCCTCCCTGGCCAGAGAAGCCAGCTCTTCGCCAGAGATTCCCCAAACACGGAGCATCTTTGGCAATGTGAAACCTCGGACTCGGGGCCGCTGCATAGAGCCACAAGCGACAGACGCGAGCAAGCCCCCAAGGCTGTCGTCTTAAAGAGTGGCCATGTTCTAGGGGGGATATGCCCTAAGTATGAACCCTGAACCCTAAACCCTAAACCCGTAAACCCTAAACCCTAAACCCTAAACCCGGCGAATTATCACTAGCAGGTGCTGAGAGTAGGGCTTTGAGTGATTTCGAGGATTGAGCGCGGTGGCCGGTGTTGCAAGAGGCGTCGCCTCGTTCATCTCTGCGAAGTCGCCCATGTCGGTGAGCCAGACACTGCAACCCACCACCTGGGCAGTTTGCATAATCGTTCGGGTTTTAGGATTTAGGGTTTGGGGCTTAGGGTTTCGGGCTTATGGTCTAGGGTTAGGGTTAGTTAGGGTTTAGGCTATTGCTGCGGGGGGGGAGGGGGGCTGAGCACAGGCCCACTTCGAAAATTTTAGGCTTTTGGGAACGTTTGGGATTAGGGCTTTGAGGGCTTAGGGCTTAGGGCCCTAACCCGAACCCCTAGAACCTAAACCCTACAGCCCTAAACCCTCAAAGTTCCAAATCCCGAGCTCGTAAAGCCCTAAACCCTCAAAAACCAAAAGCCCGAAATTTCCGTAGAGTCACAAGCACTCTCAGGCCAGAGTAAGCCCCTAAACCCTGAATTTGTTTTAGAACCATCAACTTCAACCTTTCCAAACCTGAAACCCTAAGCTTTTGAAGCTCCCAAAGGTTTGATGCAACTCTCCTTTCTTCCTTTCTTCGGCCGGGCGGCACTTCCCGCGTCGGACGCGGAGGACTTCAGGATCTCGTTGAGGTTCTGCAGCGCCTGAGGAGGGCTTCAGGCCTTTTGGGGAGGTTTTCTCACTTTGCGCATCGGGCTGACAGCCTTTTGGGGGGTCTTATCGCTTGGGGTTTCGAGTTGCAGGCCTTCTGAGGTTCGAAGGACCCTTTTTCGGGATTGTCGGGCGGCTTCTTGGATTTAGGGGGCGTCGTTCTCTCTGGAACCGCGAAGCCCTCAACAACCGAAGCCAAGAGCTTTCTGAAGTCGACCCATCGTAAAAGCACGTTGAAGTTAAAGCTGTTCAGCCCTCAAAGCCCTCAATGTAGAACAGACTGCGATCTGGGGGAGGCAGACGACCCCTAAGCCCAGAACCGGGGATGTGAGAAGTCACAAGGCTCAACCCTCAAAGGTTTTAGGGTTCAAGGCTTAGGGTTTAGGGTTTAGGGTTTAGGGTTTAGGGTTTAGGGTTTAGGGTTTAGGGTTTAGGGTTTAGGGTTTAGGGTTTAGGGTTTAGGGTTTAGGGTTTAGGGTTTAGGGTTTAGGGTTTAGGGTTTAGGGTTTAGGGTTTAGGGTTTAGGGTTTAGGGTTTAGGGTTTAGGGTTTAGGGTTTAGGGTTCAAGGCTTAAGGTTGAAAGTTTCGAGGTTTCGGCTTAGGGTTTGTCAGGCGCTCGGTGCAGAGGCGCGGGCAAGGTTCGCGTTCCTTCGGGTTTCGGGTTGAGGCTAGGCAATGTTGGGATGCTCTGGCTTCACAGCCTCTCAAAATCTGGAACCTTAAGCCTAAGATCCTGAACCCCGAACTCTACGTCCTGAATTCTAAACCCCGGAACCCTACAGACCCTGAACCCAAAATCCTCCTTCCTGGGCTAGGGCGGCCAGACCCTGAAGACCCTGAATCCCCTAAAACCCTAAACCCTAAACCCTAAAGTCCGGCTGAGGGCTCGTTACCACCACGTGAGAGCCCGAAGCCGTCCGAGCGCTCAGCGAGCGACCTGACCACACGCCACGTGCAGCCCAGGTAAGGCTGTGGCTGCTGAACGCCTTAGCAAGATGAGCACACAGCCGTGCGCGCCAGGCGGTCGAGCCTTTGAGTGTCAAAGGTTCAAACCCTAAACTAGGGACGGGCATCAGCTGGCTTACAGAAGAAAACCTGGAATAATGAGTTTTTTAAAAATTTCTGAAAAGATTTCTGAAAAAAACTCTGACTCCAAAAACATTTCTGGAAAAAAGTCTTAAATATTTTCGCGCTAGAAAAAATCAGACTTTTTTCAGAAATTCCGAATCCCCGCTCCAGTGGCTGGAAAATCAGAAAAACCATGGCATACCATGGCATATACAGCATATTTCTGAAATATTTTCTGCTATTTTTCTGAATTCTGATCTCCCCGCACCCCCCAACCCCTGGGGCCCTGGAGGGGGATGTCAAAAAAAAATCAAAAAAGTGCTGTGCACGCCATGCTTTTCTGACTTTCCATGCCCTATGGCGGGCATCCGGACCAGAATTTTTTTCAGAAATGTCTGGGCATCCGGAACGGGGAGGGGAAATCAGAAAAAGCATGGTTTCTGCAGCATATTTCTGAAATATTTTCTGATTTTTTTCTGAATTCTGATCTCCCCGCCCTCCCCCGCCCCCCCCAACCCCTGGACCCTGGAGGGGGCATGTCAAAAAAATCAAAAGAGTGCTGTGTATACCATGCTTTTCTGACTTTCCATGCCCCATGGCGGGCATCCGGACCAAAGATTTTTTCAGAAATTTCTGGGCATCCGAAACGGGGAGGGGAAATCAGAAAAAGCATGGCATATATATATATATATATATATATTTATATACAGCATATTTCTGAATTATTTCTGTTTTTTTTCTGAATTCTGATCTCCCGCTCCTAGGGCAGCATTTTCAGAAAAAAATCATAATTCACGCCGAAGCAGATTCAGAAAATAAATCAGAAACTTTTCACAGACCAGAAAAATAATCAGAAACTTTTTCAGAAAAATTTCAGAACAACATCAAATCCGCATTTGCTTGATAAGCCAGCAGTGCCAGTTACTACCCTAAACCCAAGCACCCCGCGCCGGCGCCACCAACACCCGCCCCCCCCCCCCCCCTTCCCGCCCCACGACCCGCCCTTCGCGCACCCCCCCCCCCCCCCCGCCCTGTTTTGCCCCCCCCCCCCCCCCCCCCCCCCCCCCCCCCCCCCCGCCCGGCCCTCCCCCTGCAGGGTAAAAATCTGAAAACAAGATGAGCCTTACTATCTTTCCAGCTAAATCAACCAAACTAGCCCGGCTTGAAAAAACAAAATTTTCACATCCCCAAAAACCGCATGCAAAAGCACCACGGCCAACATGCAAAACAAGTTTTTTTGCCGCAAAACCAGTCTGAGGCTTGTTCATTTTCAAATTCATGCGTGCCATCTTGTCAACCAGAATGGAAGTTAACAATATGTTTCAAACAAGAAAGAAAAATGACATGTTCGGGTCTTTTACAAAACAAAAAGGGGCTGCAGCGATAGCTCGATAAAAAAGGATTGTCGGCTCGCATGAGCAAGGTGTTGGCTTGCTGCACATGGCACCTAGCTGCCTTTCGCTCATCCTGGACCAGCCCATAGAGCACATGTCATGCAGTTTTCGTGGCTCCTCTCCCATCTCTATGAGGGAGTGGTTGCAAAGAGGCGCTCCGCTGGCTCGCAGCCAGCCCACGCACTTCTGCATGGACATCCCGGCGCAACCGCGCTCGCGCGGGGTTTTGATGCTGCCAGGATGCTCCACGCCCCGGCCCCGTCACACAAAGGGGTTGTGAGCAGGTCCCACCGAGACGAACTTAAAGACTTTGCCGGCGCCCCCCCGAAAAACCGGTTTAACTCCGGAGGTGGAGCTGGGGAGGCCAGGTTTGGCAGCCCCGTTCTCCGGCTGCGGGTAAGCCCTGAGCGGGAGCCGGCTCTCACCCGGCCTGTACTGGAGGTCATGCGGGGCGGCCAGCCCCCCGTCCGCTGTGTCTGAACCGAACGAGGGACGCTTAAGACAGCCGCACGGCTGCAGTGGAACAGGCCCACTGCGGATAAGAGCACCAACCAGACGTCTGGGGCCGAAACCCTACAATGCTATACGCCGGGTGGTTTGGGGTGGGTGTACCGCCACGCGACGCGCGCGTAGCAGTGGGCCCGTGAAAGCCACTCTATAGGGCCCACGACGCACGCTAAGAACGTTGCCACACCCTAAACCCTAAACCCTAAATCCCAGAACTCTGAACCCTCGGCCCGGGCCTGTGTGGTTTCCGCCTTGATCCCGCCTTCGACGATGTGTCCACTGGCGTTGAAACCCTGCATGCCTTGGGGGCTTTTGAGGTTGAGGGTTTAGGGTTTAGGGTTTAGGGTTTGGGGTTTGGGGTTTGGGGTTTGGGGTTTGGGGTTTGGGGTTTGGGGTTTAGGGTTTAGGGTTTAGGGTTTAGGTTGAGGTGTGGGGGTTTTGGGTGTAGACCATGCAGGAAGCCAAAACCATGTAGCCTTGCGTTGTTTCCGCACTCTGAGGAATCCATGCCCAAGCCCGCTGTCGAAAGAATACACATTTGGACATGAGACCACCGCCGAGCAAAAACACGTCCGCGTGTCGCGGGCATTTCGGGCGCGTTTCGGGCGCCGTTCCGCCGCGCGAGCAACCCAATATGACACCTTTTTACTCTAGACGTAAGACCCCTTAGTGTTGGCACACTGTTTGGGGAAAGAAGCTGATCCTTCTCCCTTTCTCACTCTCTCACTCTCGCTCTCACTCTCTCACTACCTAACTCTCTCAAACTCTCACTCTCTCACCGTCACTCTCACTCTCACTCGTCAGGTGCAGCACCACCCGACCTATTAGCGCCAAACACCCAAGCCCCAAACCCCAACTAAGCTCTGACCGGAAAGAGGACCAGACATCCAAAGCTTTGTAGTTCAGCTAAACCCTAAGCCCTAGGCCCTAAACCCTAAACCCTAAATTACAGGTCCATCAGGTCCACATACAGCGAAGTCAAAAAAAGAACGAAACTTAAAGTTAAGTAAACTTAAAATGCCTATTTTAAAACTCGAACTAATTAACTCAAAACTGTGTTTTCTATTGTTTGTTAAGCCCCAAAACCCTAAACCTACAGGTTCGTCAGGTCCCCCCTAAACCCTAAACCCTAAACCCTAAAGCCTTAACGCCTAAACCCTAAACCCAAAACCCACCGAAGGAATATCAAACTCCCAACGCGGTGCCCGCTGAAGCACTCCCAGGGGCCGCTGGCATAGACGATGCCATCCACTTCCGTTGCCCAGGAGAGAGGAAAGCCTACTGAATATGGGGTTTAGAGTTTGGGGTTTAGGGGTTAGGGTTTAGGGTTTAGGGTTTAGGGTTTAGGGTTCAAGGTTTAGGGTTTAGGCCTACGCTACCAAAGCTGGGTGTTGGGGGGGTGGAGGATGGGAGACGTGAGACCCAAAGCCTATCCCCTTGGAGAGCCTAAGAAGTCAGACACCTCTTGAACCTTCGGGTATAAGGTTTAGGGTTTTGGGTTTCGGGTTTAGGGTTTAGGTGTCGGGTTTTGGGTGCAGGGGGTTTAGAGTTTAGGGTTCAGATGGGCTACTTATACCATGACTCAGGGAAAAGAAAAAATAAACGGACATCTGGCAAGCCTCTAGGACACAACCGGAACCCATGCAACTGAACCCTAGAAGCGCCACCACCCCAGAGGGGGCTATCGTCTCAAGAACCCCTAAACCCTAAACCCTAAACCCTAAACCCGAAACCCTAAACCCTAAACCCTAAACCCAAGGAGGCGCCTGCTGTCGGAGGCAGACTGGGCACCTTGAGATGGGGTTTAGGGCTTTCGGGTGTCGTGGGGATGGGAATTCTGGGAACCCTTGAAAACCTGGCAAGACCCCTTGCAACCCATGAGACCTAAGACGTTCAGCTTCGGGTCTTCAAAGCCTTTGGGGCGCTCCCCAGCACCCCGACGCCCAAAGCCACACACACACACACACACACACACAACACACATCGCGGGGCACCACGATGGTCGGCCGCTGGTGATCACTCAAGGCCGCATTGCACTGGATCTCGACCTGAGCTCCCCGTTTCCAATCTGAAGCCCTAAACCGTCAAAGAAATCAAAGATGACGGTTTGCTTCGAATATCCCCACCCGAACCTAAGGGTTTGAGAAACACAGAGCTCAGCTGGGCTTGGGCACTCCCTACGCTGGAAACGGTGCAGGGGGCAGAGGTGGCTTGGGGGGGGCAGGTGAAGAAGGGTTGGGATGCTTTCTCCTTTAGAAGGTAGCAGTCTTTCACCCGGAAGAGATGAGGGGCTTATCATCCTTGCCAGGGCTGTTTGCTCCGCCCTTCCGGCAAGAGGAGGCCTGGTTTGTATTACAAGTAGCAGTTTCATAAGCATCGATTTCGTGTAATGTTTTTCTTTCAGCTCTTGATATTTCCTTCCAAATCCTTTTTTTTTGCATTTGGTGCTTCTGGGAACATAAGCCAAACGTGATGTTTACAGTCTCGCTGCGCTGGTTTTTGTTGCGACTTCGCGCCGCCCTCAGAAGTAGGTGCTGGTCCGCAAGGGTGTTCAAAACTAGGCCTTCTTCGGGATGTTCCCCCCTTTTACTAACAGGCCTTAGTAGGGGTTATATTAGGGGGTACTATCATCCCCATTAAGGACTGTTAGTATAAGGGGCACATCCCAAGGCCCTCTCCTTGAGTGAAGATCGTTCTCAAGAGGGTATCATCCTTCTCGTGCTTGAGGCGTTGAAGCCCACACAGCCACTGCTTAACCGCCATGAACAAGGCTCCCGTTGATTCCTAATGGAAGAAACCTCGAAGCTCTGAAGCCCAAACTGTGCCTTCACTTCCTGGTAGGGTACACTCGGAATCTTTGAAGGGATTCTGCGACAAACAAGGACTTGGGGCTCTCACCTTAAACTCACCTTAAACAACTCACGACTGCATGCGCCTACCCTAAACCCCGAACCGGCAACCATTCAGCCAACTCCAACTTTTCCGTCAAAGCAGCAGAGGCGTTGCCTGCGAGAGCTGCGACCTGAACCAGTCAAGTGCCGAAGGACGTTCTAGGGCGTTTTCAAGGTGCACTCTCTTCCCAGGTGCCCAGTTGAGATTAGGGCGCTAGGGTGGAGGGGGGGGGGGGCTAGCTTGCTGTTAGGTGTCTTGAAGATCCTTGGGGGGCTCCAGGGTTGAGCCCATGCGAGATCAGTCGCGTGATAAGGCTCAAAGAGTCACAGAGTCTGCTATGGAGTTTGCGAGTAAACTCTCAACTAGGATGGCCCTTAAAACCCTCTGAACAATATCCCTGAAGATGATCCTCTTCAACCCAAAAGGGAAAAGCATAAAAAATGTTCCGAGGGCCTAAACCCTAAACCCTAAACCCTAAACCCTAAACCCTAAACCCTAAACTCTAAACCCTAAACCCTAAACCCTAGTTGAGAAACTTACACCCAACCGCCCTGGGCCTGCACAGCTACCCGCGCCGGCGGCGGGGTGGGCCGGGTCGGGGTGGACTTGAAGAAGCCGTGGTAGATCTGGCTTAGGGTTTAGGGTTTAGGGTTTAGGGTTTAGGGTTTTAGGGTTTTAGGGTTTTAGGGTTTAGGGTTTAGGGTTTAGGGTTTAGGGTTCAGCAGTTCTGAGCGTGAAGAGTCTAGTCCAGCCATTCTCTCGACCAACACCCACCCGCCCAAAGAATCCCACCACATCCGAACATATAATCTCATATCTCTTGAGTCTTTTGCGGGGCTTCAGGGGCCTCAAAAACAGGCGCGTCATTCGGGAACTTATTCCGTCGGAGCCATCTTGAGTCTTTTGAGGGGCTTCAGGGGCCTCCAAAAAAGGCGCGGTCATTCGAAAACTTCTTCTTTGGGGGCTTCAGAGGCTTCCCAAACAGGCGCGGTCATTCGGGAACTTATTCTGTGGGAGCATCTGGGAATCCAATTTGGTGGCCCCGAAACCAAAAACAGCTGAAGCTATTAAACTGATGCACATCAGGCCTGACGCATCGGCTGTCATGGGATATTCATGTTGATTGCGTCTCCAACAAACTTGACACACTTCTCTGCCCGGGCCCAACCGTCAACTCCTCAGGGACAAATTCCCATGTGGCCAATCATGCAGTTGCTGTGACTGTCCCTTGCTTTTCATACGAGATGCCCGTCCTTGCCCTGCAGAAATCTTCGTAGGAACCATGCCAACTCAGACCCTAAACCCTATACCTTAAACCCTAAGCCCCAAACCCTAAACCCTAAACCCTATACCCTAAACCCTAAGCCCTAAGCCCTAAGCCCTAAGCCCTAAACCCTAAACCCTAAACCCTAAACCCTAAACCCTAAACCTACAAAGGAATCCATAACCATAAACGGGGTAACGGGTTCCGGGAGCTTCTTGCACGAAGAAACAGGGGAGTTTGCGGCCAGTGCAGCTCCATCAGGGCTAGTTTGGGCATCCTTCCGAGGTTTTTCAACTTTTAGGGTTTAGGGTTTAGGGTTTAGGGTTTAGGGTTTAGGGTTTAGGGTTTAGGGTTTAGGGTTTAGGGTTTAGGGTTTAGGGTTTAGGGTTTAGGGTTTAGGGTCGTTAAGTATTCCCTCAATGTATAATTGCCTATTGTCTGCTTTCTTCATGAGACGCTCACTCTTTCACCGACATAAGGCATTGAACGGTCTTCACCGCGGCAGTGCAACTTGGAACTGGGGTTCTATGTATTCGTAAAGGGGGTGAAAAGCGGGTTCCGCAAAATTAGCACAGTGCCAATCTCGACTCGTAATTCCTGTTGCATGATAGCTTGTCTTGGTCTCCTCATCCTTGGATGATCCACAATGCCAAAAACCATGTGGAAAGTCACCCGTATCCTCAGCCTGCCTGAATAAGGTATCATAACGATCAGGCTTGCTATAGATGCATGGACAAAGGCACCGCAGGCTGCACTTGAACAGGCTTGCAATGTGCTCCGCCGATTTCAAAAAGCGCTGCTAGGTAGTACTTTCGTTGTGTACGCTCCTTATTAGCATGTTGTTCTACAAATGGCTTCAGGTGTTGTCGTCGGCCTCTTCGTGCAAAGGTTGCTGCGTTCACGCGCGTGCTGTGCGTTGTCCAGTCCATTTCGAGTTGCCCTCAAAAATAAAATCATGCCCGCATTAGCCAACAACCCAATTCTGCAGCCCCGCGTTCGCTCCGAAACATTCCGGAAAAAATGCAATTGGCTAAGCAGCTCGAGTTGAGAGATACACGAGATGCAATTTCACCGTCAAAGGCTTGACTGTAGCTTGTCTCCGAGGAACGGTTTTTTCCTTAACGGCCCTGCTCCTAACAAAAAGTTTCGGGAGTTCCCCCGAAGGCTGGCCTGGACAAGAGGCCTCTTAGAATCTGTGTGGGTGAGCTCCGTCCAATTGGCGAAAAGGGGTTTAGGGGCTGGTTAGGCTGAAACGCAGCGGGAAAGTATGATCGTATGTTGGCCACGGGGCCCGCAGCAAGTGGGAATGTAAAGCTGTCACGTTCGGCGGACCACTGCATTGCTTTTCTTGGGCATACGCTTCACGAAAACCCCTGCAGCCCTCCCCCCCTTCGGGCGTGGCCCTGCCTCATTCGCCCTGAAACCCTAAACTAAAGCATGACCGGGGCACCTTGTTGAACTCGTCGAAGTCTCGGGTGATGTTGACAAGGGACACGCTGCACCTCGATCGGATGTTAACTTGCCGAAACTCTTTGTGAGCTCGAAGCCACATTGCAGTCAAGCTGCAGCCGTCCGAGCCCTAAACCTCCCGGCCCACCCACATATCTTGGAGAGAGTCCATCCCGTAGGTCCGAAGCCGTAAACCTATTAAGTTCTTAAGGTGGGGGTGTTCAATGTTGAAGGATTCTAACCTTTTTCATATTACGTTTACAGATTGCCTTGGGTCTCGGGTGTAGGGTTCAAAGTGAAGGCTAGGCGCCTTGGATTCTGGGGGTTTGGGGTCTGTCCCTATTCCGACAATCAACTCAGCTCCATGAAACCCCAAAACCGAACCCCACAAACCCGAATAAACACTGAAGCCCACAGAAGCTATCCAAACCCTGCAAATCTTCCTAAATCCCCAAACCTAAACCCAAGCTCCCTAAGTACAAACGCTCGAACCGCCACCCCTCTCGCAGGCGCAGTCAAGTGCTCAGCGAAACCCTAAACCCTAAACCCTAAACCCTAAACCCTAAACCCTAAACCCTAAACCCTAAACCCTAAGCCCTAAACCTAAGCCTAAACCCTAAACCCTAGACCCTAAACCTTGGCAAGCTCCGAAGTATCGCCCCTCGGTCACCAACTTCTGTCACAGGTAGCTGTTGGGATGTTCCCCCTTATACGAACAGCTCCTTGGTAGGGATTATAGTAAGCCCCCAATATTATCTCTACTAAGGACAATAGGGATGATAGTAGCGCCCTATGAAAATCCTTATTAAGGACTGTTAGTATAAGGGGGAACATCCCAAGGTAAATGGAGGAACCCCACACTTCAGCTTTTCGCTGTCGGGAGGCGTGCTATTGCATCCGAAGGTATTTGAGCGAGGCTTGAAGCCCCGAACTGCACAGGACGCCCATCCACAGCAAACTTTGCCTTTAGTGACCCAAGTGTTGCAAGTATTCCAAGTCTCCCAAAGGCCGCTAGTGTCCAAAATGCCAGGTCGGAACATATTCGATATGTGAGTTTGTGAGTCGGTTTCGCTTGGCTCTTGTTTCGGCTCGCTTGAGTAGTTCGGGTGGTCTTGGGGTGGGCACGTCTGCCACCTGCTGCACACACAAACCCTAAACCCAAACTGCACCCGTTCCATTGTTTTGCGCCTTAGGAAAACTCAGCGCAGCCAAGCCACAGGGTAACCTGCTCGAGGGAGCTGCCAGCGGCCTACCGTCCGAGGGCTTCGGGTTCAGGATTTCGGGTCTCCGGGCTTTGGGGTTTAGGTCTGCCTAAAAAGGGGTGGGAAGTTTCAAAGCCCTTCGCGGGAGGTTCTTAAGGTTTAGAGTTTGTCCTTTGCCGAGGTTTAAAAGCTGTGCAGTGGGCCGCGTTTCGAAGCTTCACAACCTCCTTCAACTTCACTTCCTGACCCAAAAGCCTGGAACCTGCGAGGATGTTTGAGGGGCCTAGGATTTAAGGGCTCAGGGTGTTTTCGGGGGTGCGGCCAAAGCCCCTCGCCAAGTCCGCCCCGGAAGTGCGAGTTTGGTGGTGTGAGCCCTAAGCCCTGGACCCGGACCCTAAACCCTGAACCAGAACGTGCTGCGACCGGATCGCTCAGTTGAACACAACACGGCGCGGCCGTGATAAGACCTTGGCGAGTTGGCTCTTCAGCGGCTGGCTCGAAAGCCGCCGCCCCGCGTCTGATCTCCACTGACGGCGCATGCTGTGAAAGAAGACAGCTGCAGAAGGCTCAAGAGATCGTCGGGCTGAGTGAGAACTCGGGGGCGAGGCTGATTGTTGAAAGCCGGGTCGGCATCATGATCGTCTTCGCCCCACCGACATTCACTTCCGGTCGCACCACAGACCACACCACTTGAATGGCATGCACGCTGCCCTCCTGTGCATGAGCTGGAGCATGAAATTTTTCATCGACTGAAGCTGCTGAGTCTCAACTGTCGAGCGAAACTGCATCGTGCCGGTCCCACTGATCTGGGCGCAGACTGAATCATGCCCTTGGGCTTAGGGTCTTATGGGTTGAGTCCTTGAAGCCATCTGAGCCCTGGAGGATGGCCTGCAACCCTAAACCCTAAAGCCCATAACCCTAAACCCTAAACCCTAAACCCTAAACCCTAAAGCCTAAAGCCCATAACCCTAAACCCTAAACCCTAAACCCTAAACCCTAAACCCTAAACCCTAAACCCTAAACCCTAAACCCTAAACCCTAAACCCTAAACCCTAAACCCTAAACCCTAAACCCTAAACCCTAAACCCTAAACCCTAAACCGAAACCCTAGACCCTAAACCCTAAACCCCTAAGCTGGCATGGCCTGCAACAGCAGCTGAAGGTTGGACAGGACCTTCGTGGTCTCCGCGGCGACGCCGCCGGGGACCAGCCTTTGCTGCGGCTTCTAGGGTTTAGGGTTTAGGGCTTAGGGTTTAGGGTTTAGGGTTAGGGTCATGGTACTTATGAAGCAAAATCCTAGGGAGCTTAGGAGCTTAGGAGCTTCGAGTTTAGCACTCCGTTCAGGGTTTGGGGGGCTCCGGTCGGTTTAGGTCCTGCTGGGGGCTAGGACCGACACGCGAACCAGGAATCACAAGGAAACGAGTTGATGACCAGGTGAGCTAAAAGACCATAGCAAGCCACAAGCAGAAGCCAAAACGAAGGAGAAAAGAAGCAAAGCACGCCGTTTAAGGCATGGGTTTAGGTTGGGTCAATCCTTGTGCTACTAACATACCAGTGGGCACAATCCAGGGCAGAAGCGCCGCACCAGAATGTAAGGTCCAGTGGTTTTGCGATTGCCCTGTACAACCGACAAGCACCTAATACCTGCAACACTCCTGCCCCCCCCCCCCCCCCAACAAGCCTGCAAAACCCCGAAACCCCCTGGGGCCCGCTCTTCATGCTCGTCATATCCACACCCTGCATGCCGGAGGCGTAAACTAAGCCACCTGCCTGCACAAGCCAGAACACAGGGGAGGGCACGGCTTTGGGATGGGTTTAGAGTCTGTTTGGGTGTCCGAGTTTGCAATTCTTTCGGGGGTTGCCGTCTGTAACAGGGTGTGTGTAGGATGTTTGTTGTATGAGAGCATCACATTTGGGGAGGTTGGGTGGCGCCAAACCAAGACATCGAATCCCAACGCCACAAAAATAGAAAGAAATCTTGTTCGTACATCCTTACCATATCTCAAGACCTTCAATATTCTCAAGGGATACTTGAGGTGGTGCATAATCTTGGGGGAGAGAGGGGCAAACAAGGCCTTGACGGCATAGGACAACGGGAATTTGCCCGAGATGTCCGGCCAGCCGGGTACTGTCACCAGCGAACTGGCCTTGCGTGCCTGAGGCGCAGCACTTGAGGGGATCTAGGATTCCATCCTGATGCCCCCTTCAGCCCCCGAAATCTGGGGTTCCTGTGAGGGAACATAAGTTACATAGCACTTGAAAAACTGAAGGTCCCTAAGAGCCCAGAAAAAGGTGTCCCACCAAGAACTCGGGGTGATTTTCAAGTTTCGGAATCTTCGGCTTCCTTGAGGGAAGGTTCCAACCTTCGCGAAGGCTACCAAAACACCACCCGTGCTCCTTCGGCTTAGGGTCGATGGGATTTTGGAGTGCTGCGGTTCGGGAACGAAGAAACAATCATAATAGCAAGCTTGATGAGTTAGTAGGAGACGAGTAAACAATGACAATGACAATAACAATAACAATGACAATAACAATAACAATAACAATGACAATAACAATAACAATAACAATAAAAATAACAATAACAATAATATAATATAATACAAAAATAATATAGTATAATAATCATACCCGTTAAGCCACAAACAGTGTGTCCTAGAAGGCCCAGCCACGCCAGAAGGAGTCGTTGTCGTTGTTGTCGTCTCTGTCGTGGTGGAGGTCGTAGAGGAGGCCGGTTCAGGCCTTTAACCCCAAACATGAAACCCTCAACCTGCGCGGCCTACAATGCCCAACATGGCCGGCGGGGGGAGGGGGTGCGAATACAGTTCTGACCTAGCTGGTCCTGTGGTCGAAACATGTTGATGTGATTTGTTTGGCTAGGATGTGCATGCACATGCAGGGCGAAAGAAAGACGCCTTCTCTTGGCGACACAAACTGCGAAGCTTGGGTCCATCGGGATTGGGGTCTGAGGTCGAAGGCGTAAAGAGTTCAGCAGCACACAAGATCAGATCCTGCTCAGTGTCTGGCTTCGGCGACGTCTCGCAGCCCTGAGGAGAACACTTTGGTTTCGCACGCTTTCATTCTTCCCTCCCGACTCCCAGCACACAAACGACGCCTACTTTGGGGGTCCGAAGTCAAAAACAACGCAAGTTTCAGTGGTAAATCTTGAAAGCCTTAAGCGGTAAGCCCTGAACCCTAATCGTTGGTGGCCCAGGGGGGGATAACCCAGCCTGCAAGGCCAGAAGCGCCAGCAGGGCCTCAAGGGCAGCTTTAGGGTCTAGGGTTTAGGGTTTAGGGTTTAGGGTTTAGGGTTTAGGGTTTAGGGTTTAGGGTTTCAAGGCTTCGGGGGGCTGGAGGGCTTCAAGGCTTCGGGGGGCTGGAGGCCCCTGCCAAACCGAAGCGCCCAGTCGGATGGATTTCACTTGACACAAGACCACGCGGTCGGTTCAGGAATGCGATCTGGAAGAGAAAAGATTCAGGTTTTGGCGGTTTCCGACCTCAAAGCGGAGCGTGTACATTGTAGGCCGGAGCCCTGGCAATTTAAGGTTTAGGGTTTGGGGTTCAGTTGTGCCATCTTGCAGCTGGGCGGCAGCAGCCACAAGCCCTCTACGGCCTGCCATGGTCCGCGGCGACAATCCCCGGGCTCAGTGGAAAGGCGGTGCCATCACTTCGAGCAATAAGCTAGCAGGAAAGTTTGTGCACATTGCCAGCGCGCTATGATGCCTTGACTTGACAACCCTAAAGCCTAAGCGAGGTTGCACTCTTCCTGAAGTTCGTGTCCCAAAGACCAGACTGGACAGCGCTTCTGGGGGCCTGATTCCTTAAAGTGTGATAGCAAGAGACACCTTGTAAACCCTGAACCCTAATCCAGAACGGCCTTTCTCAACGTGCCAGTGGCTCCCAATATGATTGGCCCCGGATGTCAGGGCTATTCTCACAGGCACACATGAGAGCCGTCTGCTGGGTCCTTGTTAGCACCGCCTTCCACTAGCATGGGTGCAACCTCCACGTGGCCCCGGACTGACTTAGAACATAAGGGCTGTGCCCGCGTCAATCATCTTTCAAGGCCTTTTCAGCACCAGCTTCGACCAGCAAGCGTACAATCTCCTCGTGGCCTCTGTCGCATGCCAACATGAGGGCTGTCTTGCCATCATCGTCTGTCAGGTCCCTGCCAGCACCAGCTTCCACCAGCAGGCGTACCTATACTCCTCTTAGAACCTTATTAAAAATGGTATGTTTAATACTCTCTTGGGTTTTTATATAAACCAAAAATAACAAAATAATTCCCAAAGGGGGTGTCTGGGTACAGCTTCCACGTGGCCCTGGGCAGATGCGAACATGAGAGCTGTCTGGCCGTCAGCATCCTTCAGGTCCAAGTGTGCTCCAGCTTCCATCAGCAAGCGTGCAACCTCCGTGTGGCCGCTCCCACATGCACACATGAGAGCTGTGATGCCATCTCCGGCTGTTACGTTCTTGTCAGCACCAGCTTTCAAAAGCAATCGGACAGCCTCAGCAAGGCCATTGCCGACTGCATATCTGAGTTCTTCCTCAACCTCTTTCTGCCCACCTGAGGCCTTTAGATACAGCTGCACTTCCAACGGCGCATCCAGCAACATCGCATCCAGCAGCCTCGTGCTGCAATGCAAGAGCTCTTGGAGGCATATGGGAAACCCATGCAGATGCCGCAAGTGGAGCTTCAGGGCAGCGACGTCACTCAGCTCCTCTGTGGCCAAGGACGCAAGCTCTTCACCGGAAACCCCCCAAACACGGAGCATCCGATGCCATCGCTTGCTCGAACCACGTGTGCAGCTGCAGGCTGTGGGCTTAGCATGAAGGTCATATGACTATCGCGCATGGGCTTTCTCAATCTAGGTGTACCCTTTTGTGGGGGTTTCTAGCACTATAGCTTTTGGCCGCAGTCAGGGAGTCCCCCGTGTTGCGAAGTATAGCCAGATGCCCTGGAATGGATCTCAACATTAAGCCCTAGAGCAGCATCTTCAGATTGAAGATGCAGTCCAAGTTTAGGGTTTAGGGTGTAGGGTTAGGGTTCAGGGTTTGGGGTCTAGGGTTCAGGGTCTGTGTTTAGGGTTTTAGGGTTTATGGTCGAGGGAAGAGCATCTGCAGTCGCGTGTCTCGCGCGTGTAAAGACACTTCTTGAGCCGGCAGCAGGGGAAGGGTGGAGGGGGAGGAGGCGCATGGCTCAACTCTGGGTCTTACTTTCCTTCAGTCTCCAACGGCGGCCCATGGCCTTCCTTGGGTTTGGGGTTTGGGGTTTGGGGTTTGGGGTTTGGGGTTTGGGGTTTGGGGTTTGGGTTTGGGGTTTGGGGTTTAGGGTCTGGGGTTTGGGGTTCAAGGCTCAAGGTTCACAGGGTTTGGGGTTTTCAGGGCTTCATGAGTGCTAAAGGCGCAGGATGCCGGGTCCTGGGCAGCAGCAACCTCACGGCAAGGGAGTCAGCGGTGGCACTACTCCCCAGAGGCCTAGTCCAAAATACCTAAACCCTAACCCTAAATCCTAAACCCTAAATACCTAAACCCTAAATCCTAAACCCTAAATACCTGAACCCTACATCCCTAAACCCTAAACACTAACCCAAATCCCCAAAAATCCTTCATTCATCTTCCACCCTTTTGTGCCAGCAGCTGGTCCTCACGAGGCCACAACTACGGACCTGGCCATGCAGGGGCTCCCTGGTTTAAAGTTTAGGGTTTAGGGCTTAGGGTTTAGGGTTTAGGGTTTAGGGTTTAGGGCTTAGGGCTTAGGGCTCAGGGTTAGGGTTTAGGGTTTAGGGTTTAGGGTTTGGGGTTTGGGGTTTAGGGTTTGGGGTTTGGGGTTTGGGGTTTGGGGTTTGGGGTTTGGGGTTTGGGGTTTGGGGTTTGGGGTTTGGGGTTTGGGGTTTGGGGTTTGGGGTTTGGGGTTTGGGGTTTGGGGTTGGGGTTTGGGGTTTGGGGTTTGGGGTTTGGGGTTTGGGGTTTGGGGTTTGGGGTTTGGGGTTTGGGGTTTGGGGTTTGGGGTTTGGGGTTTGGGGTTTGGGGTTTGGGGTTTGGGGTTTGGGTACCCTTATCGATTCCCTTTTGCAGGCAGGGGGGTTTCCGAGATGAGGGGTACCTTGTTGGGTTACTGTAAGGGAATCCTAAACGGGGGCAGGGAAGCCGCTTGGGTTCAGAATACGGGCAGGCACAGTGCAGACTTGAAGGAGTAAGGTGTTTGGGGTTTGAGGTTTTGGGTTTATAAATGTTAAACGGCGTTTAGGGTATTTCTGAACCGTGTTTCTACGACTCATTCTGCGGGACTCGCTTCGGGCCAGCACCTTTCCTAAACCCAAAACTTTACAGGCCTCAAACCCCAAATCCTACTACAAAAACCGACATGCCGCGAAACATCCGCTTTGTGTGAGTTTGAGATTTCGGACGCCCACACACAACTGCTCCCTTGAATGGCTCGATGGGTTTGGGTAAGGAGCATAGGGTTCAGGAGCATTCAGGCTTTTGAGCAATTAGGGTTGCCTGGCTGTCTCTCGCCACAACCGTCTCTCGCGGCATCCGGCCAAATGCTTCGTTGCGTTGAATGAACATTTTGAGCCAAAGATCATACTATGACTGTTGAATGCTATACTATTCTATTCTATTCTATACTATACTATACTATACTATGTTATGCTATACTATACTATACGATGCTTTTACCATACCATGCCATGCCATGCTATGCTATACTTTATAGTTTACGATACTGGAATACACTATCATGAAGTGACCCCCTCTGCAACCTGCACTCATGTCGTCAAGGGCCCGAACACCATGATGCCCACTCAACGCACAGAACTTGCTGGGCGGCGTGAAGCAACAGGTTTTTATGGGTTTCAGGGTTTTTGGGTTTCAGGGTTGTAGGGTTCAAGCACCTCTTTTCCTTTCTCCTGGCTGACGTCCAAATCTGAAGCTCTTGCAGCCCTTCACCGCACTGGAAGGCCTGCGGAGCTTCACGCCGCGCCACAAGAGCTGGGGTCCAGAACCGTGTGAGGAACTGGCACTGAGCAACTGGGAGGCCGTTTGAATGGCCCGGAGGGCTGTAACATCATTTGTAGGCTCGGGCTGAGCTGTCCAGTACCCTCATTAGTTCACGCCGACCCGGATTCGAAGACTTTGCCTGTTGGGGCACCCCGATGGCCCAGGCCCACGGTGAGGCCCTGCAAGCAAGTCGGTGTCGGAGGCTTCCCTGCACCGAACAGGCTGACTGGGCCATGTGCCTCCCGCAGAGAGCGAATGGCGAGTATGGCCAAAGCAGCCCGCCCTTAAGTCTTTCAAGCCTTGCCTTTTGATACCCTGAAGCAGCAAAGGACCTCGAGCAGTGAACATCGCGAGCCCAAGAACTCTCAAGACCCTGACTCTCACCTGAGCACTGCAGCAACTGGGGAAGTGCAGCAAGGAAGGCTTCCAAGTTGCCTCTGCAGGGAAACGGGGGGTCTTAAGTCCCCTCCAACTTCAGGCCTCAGGCTCGAGGGAATTTGGAAGCTCCAAAAGCTACTAAGGCACAGAGGGCGCCAGCCACGCCAAGGACAGGTCTGCTTCAAGAGCGACGACTCTGCTCAAGAAGTGCTGGGTGCACCTCTTTCGCGCAGATTCGGGGCGAGTGCGTCAGGGCGGGACGTACTGTAGGTCTTCCTTGAAGCCACACGGTGTCCACCGAAGAGTGGGCTTAGGCGCAGACACGATGCCGTACTCCCCTAAACCCTAAACTCAGCTTGAAGCCAGAAAACCTTGAATCCCTGTCCGAGAAAGAGATGCCGAACCTAGTTGAGGGGAGTCGTTGCCCTCCGTGTCCGTGGGGCACAGCGCCCACCCAGGACCCGCTTTGACGCGGCAGCTTCGACAGCGAAGAGCGGTGATTGGGATCCTCTTGGTTTTGGGATGTTCTGGGGCCAATTTCAGATGAGCTAGGGTGTAAGGTTTAGGAGTTTAGGGCTCAGGGGGTTTAGGGTTGAGGCATCGGCGCTTCCTGGCTTTTGTGCGCCGAGGTCGGGCTCCGGGCTTAGGGCTTTGGCCCAGCCTGCTTGGGATCATGGTGGCAGCAACTTGGGCCTCAGGCCCCATCTAAGCAACTGCTTTCTTAAGGAAGGCCAAGAGCGCCAGCAGCATCGCGGAGCGCAGAGAGGGCCCCCTGACGTCCCAAGCTTCTCGGAGCAGAAAGCTCAACTTCAAGGGGCCTTCCAGGAACGCAAGGGTGCAACTTGCCCCTTCAGGGTTTCGAGGCTCTTGCGCTGCTTTTAGTTTCGGGTCTGTGGGGGCTTTTGGGCTTCACTTACAAGAAGAGGGGGGAAAATGCAAGGTTGGAGCGGCCGCAGCGAGTCGCTACTCAAAGGCTCATTGAGGCATTTGAGGAGCGATTCCTGCTGCTAGGGAGTCACAGACCGATATCTTCAGCCGGCGGTTGAACTGTAAGCTTGGGCCCCTGAACCCAACTCCACCTAAAAGATGGGCTTGGATCTCGGGACTTCGCGAAGTGCCCAAATCATCTGCGACATCGCTGCTTATGCTTGGCACCTGCTTGCGAGTCTCATGCCCCCCCCTCCGTGCCGACCATGCATTTCATGCGCGCCAAGCGGTGGCAACCATTCTCCCACGT